GATCACGACAGAAGGGGATGCTGCCCGGCCGGTCCTGCACCCTCCACAGGAGAGGTTACAGATCAGCCTCTGGTTCCTCATAGTCTTCATTGCCTGACTTCTGGAAAACCAGGCCTTTCTTCCCACTCGACTGTCTAGAAACTCCTTTGGAACCTGTTCAGCATCATAGCAACATGTGAGCCTTCGGGTTTGCATATGGGGTACAACGACCCAAGACTGAAACCTAGTCTCCCCGTGGGAGGCTCGAATTCCACCACTGAACCATCACTGCCTTCTCTGTGTGTCTGTTAGTATGTATTCCCTATTGCTATCAATTGTACATAGCTCAGGTTATGAAAAGGCTCCTTTTGAATCAGATAACACGGAAGGCCGCGATGTAGACAATGCAGAGGTTTTTTGTTTTGTTTTGTGGCAGCAAAAATTCTTTCCTACATAGATCACCAACTGTCTTGTTCGCTGCTGCATTCTCAAAACGTGGTGCCTGGTAGATGCTCCATAAATATTTCCTAAGTGGATAAGTACATGCTCACTGTGTCTCAGGCACTGAGCATTGTATCTGTGTATCACCCATTTAAGCTTTCAAGTAACCCTTTGGGGTAAATATGATTTTCATTTTATGGACCAGAAGCTAAGGTTGGAGGTATGTATTTTTGTGGCATTCTACAGCCATGACATGTTGAAAGTTGGGGGTGGAGGAGGACAAGGTCGGGGGTGACCCAGGCCTGTGTCTTTGTTCTGATTGCTCCTGTTTATTATATGGTCTTTTTATTTCCCATCATGGTTCTATCTGCCTCTAAGTCAAGGGACATTTATTTATCAACAAAAATATTGGAGAGCCTTGTGTAAAAATAGAAGCAAAGTGAACAGCAGCAGTCATACGACCAGTGTGTTTAGTACGAGACCTGAGAACAGTCTTCAGCACAGCCTCGCCAATTAGCACAGGAGATGTACAAGCCCAGATTAAAAAACAACAACAACAACAACAACATCATTTTTTATGGAAATGCTGCTTTCCTCAATGTAAAGAGGAGCAAAGATAGGTGCATCTAACCCTGATTCTGGTTGCACTTTTTGTTTTCACAAACATCAGGACAGTGCTCGGGAAACCAGCTGCCACTCACAGTCACCGAGTGTTTCTATGTCTTTGAATTACCTACAAAATAGGTACTGCTATGCTTTTACCATCTTTTTGCAAGTGGAGACGTTGACACATACCAAGCGACCTCTGTAATAGAGCATAACTTCGGTTCCAGCTTGGGTTTCAACATAACATTCATAGCCACTAACATGTCCTCTCTCTAAGTCACCCTGCTGTCTGCATAGCCTGCGGAGGTTTGCTCTGTAATTACTGGCCTGAAGTTTTACAAACCGGACTGCCCTGTTTATTTCAGTCTCCAAGGGCTGTAAGATACCCACAGTCTGCAGCATAACAAAGCTGGTAACTGCAGGCTGGCTACTTGCAAGCTATTTAGCATTTGTGAACATTTGAGTCATTGACATTCACCCTTACAGAAGCCTGGGTCAGAAAATAGGAGAGGAGGGTGGTCCTTTGAAGCCTCAAATAGGTGAAAATCAAAAAGATGCGGACACAGGGGGGGGGGGATATGATCGATAATGTTTTGTGACATAAAATGGCAATGATACATCTAAGGTGAATCAGAAACATATATAAACCATGATACACGAGTATATTTTGGGTTTCCACTTCATTCTAATCTCAATCTAAGAGCAATTCATTCTTATGACATGGCCTGACTGATGCTTGCTCTCATGAAGAGATCACTTAAGATATGTGTGGTACACCATAGTGTGGTGGAGAAACTAGAGAGTGCCTCTTTCTCAGAAATAATAGGTTCTGGGGTCTTAAAGGCTTGTTTTCAAGCAAGCAGCTGTCTAAGTGAGGTGTCACCCAAATCCACATGGAAGACGCATACTAGCCTGTGTCATCCAAGGACTGTAAACATTATAATCCAAATCTAAAGGGGGGAATGGTATCAGAGCTTACATTGTGAACACCTGATATGCAGAAGGCTACCAATGACGGCAGAAGCTCCAAATCCATTTACAGGGTCCACACATGGATTCAGCCTCTGGCGAATTCCCTCCAATCACAGTAGATTAAGGTGCACACAATTATGTCAGAATGTAATATCTTATCATTTGATCTTGCATTTGATCCATTTAAAGCTCTTTCAGTTAAAAAAAAATGTTAAGAGGAAATACCTGTGAATTACGCTTCTAGTGAGTCCCCTCTGACTATGGGCCAGAGATGTAAATAGCTTTCCTATCATGCAGAATGTATTAAAAGTGGATTGTTGAAGATGCAATTAGGTTAACAATTTTAGCACCCTATCAATTGATTTCCCCTATGATCCATTTAAATTTATTCTAGTTTTTAAATATTTTATGCTTTCTTTCAATTAAGGATTTTAATTTGTATTACTTTGCTATTGTGAGTTAAAAAAAAATGTTTTCCCAGATATGAAATCCAGGATAGGAAAATTTACAGAGACAGTAATGGGCGTAAATGGTACCTTGTGGGTAGGGAAGGAGGGGTTGGGGGGGAACGGGAAGCTAATAAGGAATACATGAATGAAGAAAATGTTCTAAAATTGATTGTGGTGATGCTTGTACAACTCTTCTTGATGTGATGGAACTATTGAATTGGAAGCTATGTGATTATATGCCAACAAAACTAGAAAACAACAAAAAAGACACGAACAAAATGTTAATCCTGATCCTTTTCTTAGTTCCCTAAATCCATAAAGAAGTCCCTGGTTTCTTTTCTTAACAGAAAGGAGGCTTCCCTTAGAATGAAGTAGGAGAATGGGTTCTAACGCTTCCGTGAGCCACACCGTGGCAAAGAGGCCAATGCTGGCATGTGGAAAGCCTCGACAGATGGAGCTTTTAAATAAAAACACACATGGTTCTATCGGATCCTTGTGACAACTCTGTGACCTATTTTAAAGATGAGGAGGTGAGGTTAAAGAATCATTCCAGGTTAAACACATTGCTCAAGAGAGCAAGAAGGGTGGGATTTCCCAGAGGTTAATAAGAGACCAAGAGGGCCACCACTCAAGGTGAGCGCTGTTTGAGACACAGAGCTCCTTCCCATTCTCTGGTGCCTCACAGCCAAGCACGGTGCGAAGTGGTTCCCTTCATTGCAAAAGCACAGGAGCGTGGGGTCTCTGTTTGTGAGGCGTGCCGTGCTCAGCCTATTCAAACTACAAATGCGGACCCCTGCCTCAGGAGTACCTCCGCACCCTCACCCGAAATAAAAAGGCAATGCTTCTTTCTAATGAGATCACGAGAGAGGCGTTGCCACTACTGTGGCTCAGACATTAAGAACCCATAAGTGCCCATTATCTGATGAAGGCTCTGGTAAGTAGGTAAATGGTTCTGACTGATGGATTACTTGTAGGGATCGAATATGAACCCTCTGTGGGCTTTTTTTATGTAATCACTGGAGAGACGAAGAAATGGAATCCAGACACGTAGGGTCTAAACTAAGCATGTACATATGACATTCAGCCTTTTAGGAATTCCATACTAAATGGTTATGATGCCAATGGTCATGATGCCACTTGGGGAGTGGGAGACGTGCACAGAGCACCATTTTTCACACTGTTAGGAAGATAGATTCCATTCCCTCATTTGTTAGCTCAGTGTGAGCCACACTGGGTATATTCCTTGTATATTTAGACATAATAAGTGTCAACTGGACTCTCTGATATTCAGTTCAGCATTTTAAAACCCTATTGAGTGCTAGCACCCTGCTCTCAAATCACATTATGGATTCAAAAAGGTAAAACAGACACAAAAGGACCTGTGTGGGGTGAAGTACCCACCTTGGACCCGAAGCTGTATTTTGCCTCTCACACAGCTGCTAGCACATCCCAGAGTTTCATGGGACACACTTTGAAAACCACCGATCAAGTCCTGATTTGGAGAGTCAGGGATTTGCCTCTGTGCTCAGGAGAAATATACTTGATGCTTGTGGGCCCCTTTTCCAAAGGAACAGCAGGGATGGACCAACAATAAGATTGTTCCCCTCTGAACTTGGAAAGTCTGCATGTCTAGGTACCCTGGGCATGGAGTTCCTTAAGGACATAGCCCTTCCTCACCCAGCCTGGGGTTTTCTCAAAAGAAGAAAGTATTTGACTGGAATCAGGGCTCTGCACCTTTGTGTTGTCCCTGGAGCTACAGAGTTGCCCCTGGAGCTACCCAGCATGAGCTCTTGGGTTCTTTCCAATTAGTGACTGTGAAAGAGGAGGCAAAGGAGAAGGTCCACCCACAAGCAGACTCTCAAAGGCAGGAGGCGAGAGACTTCTAGAAAAGACCCCTTAGTTGTTGGCCTCCCTAAGTGGGCATATGCCCTTTATCTTGACCGCCCCACCCCCTAACTAAGAGACATGTTCCGAAGGGCCTGTAACAGTTCATTATACTGTCATATTTTAAGCGTCCGGGTACTTTTTGACCTTCACAATACAATACTCAAATACTCTTGACCTAACTCAAGTTTTAATTTATGCCCTGAAGGTGTTCATCTCCAGGGAAGTGAGTTAGTGTTATTATATTTCACTTTAGAATAATGAGGCATCCAAGTAATTCTATCCTCCTACTTAGAAAACTCTTTTCTAAAATCCCAGCTCTACGAAGATCCACTGTATTGCTCCTGTAACCAAGTTAATTTGAAAGGCTTCCTGCCCTCTCCTTCTCTAGGATTGGGCTATTCTTATTTTTTCAAGGATTCCCCAAACCCTTATCTTGATTCCCAGACACTTTTATATCAGACACACACTCTCCAGAGTCCTCTCCAATGACCACTTGTGCTCATTAAGCAGCTAGGCTCACACAGGTCTGGAATATATCACCCCTTTAAAGTAAACCCATGCCAGAGAAGCTCAGCAAGAAAATGTTGCATTAGGAGGGTGTGGGAAAGGCCATTGGGATGGGGAGAGGGGCGAGAAAGGAAATATTTTGGATACTGCATACTTTACCAGTTATGTCATGCTGTTTGAATGACTCACTGTAGATTTGATACTGATTTGGACAATGTTTCTTCAGCCACTTGCAGACATCCTGCTGGGTCCACAGTGCCACTGGTTTTGACAGCTTCACCGTAGCAGACTGTAAATAAAGAGGGAAAGGAGG